GATAAACTAACAAAATTAAAAGTATTGTCCAATACTCTCTCGTTTGGATTAAAATATCCAATAAAGCAAGTTATTGATTCTATTTATGTTCTACCGTAAACTTTATATTACTATGTCTAGTGATATTCACAGAACTGATTTACAAGTTACACTTCGTTAAAGATGACAAAAGTATCATCCACGTACCTACAATAGTATACAGGTTTGAAACTCTTTGGACATTCCTTCAACCACCGTTTTTCATGGTAGCATGAAATTAGATTAGCTAATGAAGGAGCTAACTTCGCAACTCCATCAGTTTGGTTATATATCTTACCATCAAAAAGAAAATGTGGCAAATTCAATAAATGTTGAAAAACTGGCTTGGGAAATGTTATCTTATTATTTCCATTTTAATAACTTTAACGCCAGATGTAATGTCTTTTTCAAAGGAATGTTCGTATATAAGAATTCAATGTCCATACTAGCATAAAAGATAGTTTTATGTTTTCCTGTAAAGGGAAGGATCTAAAATTTGGCAGAATTGCATGATTAGTGAGGAGAATCTTGTGTTAAGTGTAAGAAATGTTAACGATAACTTGGAGGAAATTATATAATTGGACATTGTCAGGTTTAAAGTTTTAAAACATTGTGAATTTGTCTTGTTTATAGGGATGTGTTATCATTTTTTAGTATGTCATTAATAGTATCTGCTAATTGTATGGATTTGGTACTACTTAGTGAAATTATGCTCAAAGCGTTACTTGCGTTTTCCGACTTTTTCTAAATGGGTCAGGGACTTTGAAACCAAACAAGTTCTTTCTGTAATAATCACTGCTAGTGATGCAGAGTTTATTCTATACCTGCAACTCTGTCCATAAATAGAATTTATCCAATATGTGCAGTTTCTTTGCATATTAGTTGAACGAAGCTCAGTATCTAACGTATCGGGCTGTGGATAGAAGGGTTCGGGGTTTGAGACTTGTTGTCCCTGAACACACTCGGGGCACTTTATGTATGTGATAGTCAATCCATTTATTCAGTTCAAATACGGACAAACCCTTGTGGGTACGGGTACTACTGGTTGTCTGCCTTTCTCTGATGTGTTTCTTTTAGAGCAAAGCTACATTGGGCTGTCTTCTTTGTCCACCGTGTGGAATCGACTTCGTATTTTAGCGGTGTACGTCCGTTGATTTACTGCTGCCCTACCGAGGGACACTTTCTTCTCGTCAATAATTCAAAATTGGAGAGGATTATATTTGAATACTAGGGTACTCTGATCTGGCCGCTTAACTCATGTACGCATGAGATGCCATTCAGATTGGAAAATTCCATTTCTTTCACACAATAATTACATATTTACAACATATGTGATTTATTTCTATTGTTCTATTGTTTCTAGGAGTTAAAGCAGGATGCATTGAATATGTACAGGTTATTTTCATTGTAATCACTACCAGTCAAATAGAGTTCTATCACCATATATGAGTCATTTCGTTAATAATCTCTATCAACATCAAATGTAACACGAAGGATTATAAATCCTCAACAGGTACACGTGCAGTAATAAGATAGCCTAGCTGTAAGATCAACAACCTTCCCCCTCCTCTCAATATACATTCTTATTAGAATTTATTTTTTATGTAAAAAGTAACTACAAAGTTTATAGTTTATCTTTAGAACTTAATATTAGACTAGTGCTATGTTCTTAGTATAGCTATAGTTAAATTCTCGCTGCCTGGTTACTATGGTTGAACTTGGGCCGTATTGTTACTATACGGATGCATAAATTGCACAGTTTAATTAGTGCAATTATAATTAGTGTTGAACTATGACCAGACAGAATTAGTGATCCTCCGGTGGTACAGCGGTAAGGTTACGGACTAACGACGCTAAAATGGACGTATAAGATAGCCCAATGTGGCTTTGTTTTAAAATAAACACACAAACAGAGAATCAGTGTTAGAAAATAATATTAATTATCCCCTTCGGTTCATTTTTATAAAATTAAACATATAATGATCTTCATATGATTTGAAATGCAAATGATTGATCATTCAGCTTACTCTCGTAAAGAATGTATGGTTGAGGTAACTATTTTTTTTTTACATTTCGTGATTTCGCATCATTATTGTGTGTTAGTTACGAACACCAAGTCAAGGTGTTTATGAGATATTTGATCACTTCTCTGACAGTGCTTTTCCCATAGTAGTTTTAATAACTGGAGTCACTTGGTGATATACGAGGCATTTCCCAAAAGCATTCCATAGATACTTGATGGTATTGAAGTCCGATATACGTGTAGGTCAGTTCCCTCATGTTTAACGAATGAGATGACCAGTTGAAACACGGGGGCGTGGTTATTGTTATCCATTTTTCGGAGGTCAGAGTCAATTGTACCAGCAAATATCAACACTAAAAATCGTAGTGTCTGGTGTGTATAATATGTGGCATTGATTTCATCATTCAGCTGGATCTAAGACTAGTACATCCACTAACTTTTATCCCTACTTGTACCATATGTCCACCACTAACATGCACGTATTACGATTACCCTTTAATTGTTTTATGAAAGTTGAATCTATGTAGAGATATTAGGTGTTTTTACCCTTTGTGCTCCTGTTATATATATGTGAACATACACTATATTGTTACTATTAAATGTACGTTATGTTACTGTAAAATAGCAGTTATTACACCAATACTCTATAGCAATTAATACTACTTTTGTCGTCTATGTACGTTATGTTACTGTAAAAATAGCAGTTATTACACCAATACTCTATAGCAATTAATACTACTTTTGTCGTCTATGTACGTTATGTTACTGTAAAAATAGCAGTTATTACACCAATACTCTATAGCAATTAATACTACTTTTGTCGTCTATGTACGTTATGTTACTGTAAAAATAGCAGTTATTACACCAATACTCTATAGCAATTAATACTACTTTTGTCGTCTATTATTTTCAACATAATATTTTTAACTTAAGCCGTTAGTTTGAAACGAACTTTTTTCAAAACAATACTTAAACCTGATAATGGTGTTGTTAAAGAGAAACTTGTTTAAAACAATCTAAATCCTATATTCCTAATGTTCCTTCGATACAGACAGTCATTTCTGAGTATAAAATCTGTGTTTCTTAACAACATACCTTTGTATTACCATTTCAAACAGTTTAAGGTTAACAGAATTCAACGTTGACAGTTTTCATGAAAGTCATTATAGACGGACTCAAATTCACAAGGCATTATCTGTCAGTTCAGGCATTACTGTTTGGCACCACTTTGTTGAGAATAAACAAAATTTGTACTTTTTTGTTTGTCTTAAAATATTTGTAGCATAATCAGCTTTAGCCCGTTTTTGCTATTTATTTTCCCTAAATAACATGAGATTCTGTTGTTAAAATTCTAAGTTTACCAAGTTATTTTAAGTAATAATAAGTATAAGAAATAGATATTTTACTACTACATCATTTTCTGTTTTCAGGAGCTTGAATTCAGATTTCACTTTTATGCAGTTTTTGAGAAGTCGACAAATCCTTACGATAAGGCTATCAACCGCATGCTTATTGCACGGCCTCAGGGTCAGCAGCTTTTCGAGATAGAGAAAATCATTAGTACACACGTTCGTAAACTGGTTCTCCACACGCGATCACTGTCTCAGTTCTTATTGGTGTACGTCTCTCGTTGTGTCTAAGAATGTTGAAGTACTGCCGCTAGTTCGAAACTGTAACCATCGCTTATGTATTAGATTCCCTGTGTCGAATGTGGTGATCTTGTTTACTTCTTGTAACTTAGATAGAACCTTGTATTGAATATCGTATTTATTTCTTTTATTAACTTTAGTACGCTGTGTCGAATGTGGTGATCTTGTTTACTTCTTGTAACTTAGATAGAACCCTGTATTGAATATCGTATTTATTTCTTTTATTAACTTTAGTACGCTGTGTCGAATGTGGTGATCTTGTTTACTTCTTGTAACTTAGATAGAACCTGTATTGAATATCGTATTTATTTCTTTTATTAACTTTAGTACGCTGTGTCGAATGTGGTGGATCTTGTTTA